CCACACATTTAAAAGGTGTAGACTTTTGAATAAATTGGATGTGAGAAAAACGAGTGTTCGGAAGTTCTGAAAGAAAAATACACCTAAAATGTTCCAAAGTACCCCCCCCCCCCTCTCCTCCCAAATAGCGGTACATAACAAAAAAAAAAGTAAAATGTAACAAAGATTAGGTGTTAAATAAGGTCTAGCATACCAGCACATTGGGCAACCCAGTGTACGCTCCAAGAGCGTCTTGTTTATATAAAAACATGAAAATAATATAAGGACATTTAGGAATAATGACTGACGTCTTACCATCTTGACAAGTTTTGAGGTCCATACGTACACGTCCCCAGGTTTTCCAATCAATCCTCGTTAAATATCTTGACCACGAGCATGGCACATTCAAGGTTCTACAGGGTAAATATGGCATCTTACTGGGTGACACATCTGACGACAGCGCAATACAATGGTACTCTGTGCTGTTTCCGTTCCTGCATGATTGGTATACAGAATAATCTAGAATACGAATAAATATTATAAAGTCCTGGTCAGCGGTCGAGTTCATTTCGGGGTGGATGGTACACTACTCAATTCAAATTAGACTCTTTTCCCTACAGACTCATTCGAATGGAAGTAATGAATAAAGCACTAAAAAAAGTTCAAGTAGAGGGCAACGCTGCAACGAAAATTTTTTCTATTCTTTAAAAATCATAAAGTACAGGGAGGAAACTTGTATTTTCCAATGTCGGTTTTCTTACACTTTGCCAAGCCGGTAGATAGGGGGGTAGCGCACTTTTTTAGCACAAATTTGAACCAAACACTTACAGTATAATCATCTTGCATGCTGGCTTCATTATGATATTGTAATTTAGTATAATTTTAATAATATAGAGTAGCTGTAATTGTTCGAGTGACAAGGGGAAAAAAAGACAAATTTCCTCAGGCCGAGAAACAAAAGTCATCAAAAGAAATTACTGGGTTGCCTGTGGGAGGCCAGCCTAAAATACGGTTATGTATTTTGAAGAATAATTTAAACCCTAAATAAGTCGATACCTCTAGAATATAGATTGGAGTTCAGATGACGAACACCGTCAGACCCCTCCTGCGACAAGCGTGTGTATGCTTCCTAGGATATTTTCTTTGATAGTGAAATCCATTATTTTGTTCTCAGGCAAAGTAGAAATCCAAAATCCCATTATTTTCTCCGCTCGATCCTCATTACAAGGTTTGTACTAAGTCTAAATATAGAACAACAACTACGGAGCGTACGCTCCAAGACACAAGTCCAAGTCTTTGAAATCTTCTCTCAATAAACATTTCACAATATCAAAGACTACTTTTACTCAGCTTAAGTTTTACGCAATATTTTTGTTGATTTATTTGATGCTGGACTTAATGTTAAGTTATTTCAATATTCTGACATATCGGAATCTAAAGCTGTTATAACCGCGGTATATTTTACAAAAGTAACGACTGAAGTTACCAAACTGACATTGTGATGGTTTTGCTTCTCAAGGTAAAGACTCGAACGTGATGCAATAGTTTTGAAAAGTTGAATAAAAGGGATAAAAAGAAAGGAAAATAAGATAGTAGAAATGTCTCTCGATGCGCACTAATATAAGATTTGAAGCTTTCAGTCGACATCGAAATTTTTTTTAAATAAAAATTCTTCTATTTAGCTATGTAATGTAATTTACGAAGTTAGACTTTTTTAATTACAAAACACCTGCGACAGTCAATTTTCCCAAATGTTTTTTATAAATCGACAAAGCCAAGCAGAATTTTAATCCTATCCTATCCTTTCTATTTTTCTGTCTTCTAGATATCTAAAATCTGTCTTAATATTGATTTTGATGCAACCCTTAAAGTTAGCACGTACCCAGTCGTGTCAAAAATTTTGCAAGTTTTCTGTATTAGCAACCAGGAGCGGAGCAAGTTATAACGAAATTTATATCCATTCAATGTAAAATAAAATATCAAAATAAGAAAATACGCGATGTTACCTGATAGATATCCTTGAATAAAGAATAGGGCGAGCTGTAAAAATTAACAAAAAAGATAAAGGTAAGATTTGTGAACATATAATGTTCGAGAAAAAATTGCGATACAAATTTCAGGCTGTAGAAAGAATGCAGGGCGGTAATATGGATATACCTGTAAAAACGGCCAGAAAAATCTTAAACTGATAGCCATAGTACTGTCAAAGATCAGATCCAAAGGTAAGACATATCGTAAAGAAGACTGAGAATTCCGAATTTCTAATTATTGTTTAAGTCTGGTGTTTTTCTAACTAGATTTGATCTACTAACGAATTAACGAAACACTATGGCCTTTTATGCTGCATGCAGTGCTTTTGTTAACATGACAAAAACAGTAATATACTGAGTTTATACCACACACTACGATGTTATTTGAACATAACTTCCCGGCTAATTCTATTATTTAATTTTTATCTTATTTAGTTATCTATTATTTATTATTTTGCAAAATTTGCCAAGGATTTGGCATCGTTGTACTCAGTTATTGGTAATACACTGCCGGTAATACACTGAGTAATAAATTACAAAAACTCTAAAACCGCGCAGCCAGAGTCATCGCCAAGTCAAGTTTTGATGCAAGCGCAAGAGCTCTCTGTTTACATTACTTGACGGGGATGATTTAGGTACACGGAGAAAAAAACAGTTAGCAATATCCATGTTTAAATCATTACATGGTATCTTTCCATCTTATCTTCAAAATATGTTTGTTTTCTGCGACCCAGTATATGACCTTAGAAAAATGGAAAACAAGCTGTCTCTACCGAAACCGCGTACAAACTACTTGAAACGTAGTTTCAGTTACTGTGGAGCAGCTTTATGGAATAGCCTTCCGTCTGATGTAAGAAGTGCTGATTCCCTTCCTTTGTTTAGGCGTAAACTTAATGAATATGTCTGATTATAGCAGGCTCACACGGCAATCATGAAAAACATTTTTTTATTCATTGTAATGTATATTTGTACTGATGATTTTGCTGTGTTAAAATAAACTTTGTATGTATGTAATTTTGGATGTAGTCGGAGCAAGGCTTAAAAATAGGGTCCCTAAATACGTAATACCACGCCAGTTTTGCCTTGTTTATATCACAAGGGAGTGACATCAGCTGGATACCACTTTAAAGTGCTCAAAACAAGGAATACTTAATAGAGCTGTTTCTAAAAGTATGAGATATTCAGTTTGAGCAAATAGTTTTGAAGTTTGAAGAAATTTGGAGGTTTGTAGAGAAGCCGACACTTTTTCTTATTTCCTCCTAGACTTTTTAAAATTAATCACGTGATCCCTAAAAATGTTGAAAAACCGCAACTTCAATTAACTTGTCATCTGAATAAATCTATTTTCCATATCACGAAAACAGTATCATCACAATTTTTTTTTTTTTTTGTGGATCACGACACATGACTTTAGGAAGTAAAATTATTATTGATGTAAATTTTTATTCAAAAGTATTCAAATAATTACATGTAAGATAACCTAATCAATGCGCAGGACTTGATCGTTTCAGCAATGGCGGGTAAACTAGCTGCCTTGCCTTCAGTACAAAACTCGTGCATTACAGTGTAATAATGATTTTTCTTTTTTACAATGAGGAAGTAGAAACATGATATAGAGTAGACTAGTGACCTGAACGATTGTGGTATGTGATTTTTATAAAGGTCAAAGATACGGGAACAGTTAATATGTCACTAAACAATTTCCCATTGTCTCGAAAGAGGACAAGAAGTAACGAGCTATTTCTGGATTTGGTATCTCAAAACTGCAACATGGACGACGATCATATTCAGTGGGCTGAGAAAGACAGTGTATCAGAAGCTGGGATTCCTAATGAAAGCTATGGTATTGTATAATATACTTATATTACAGCTTTATCTTTAAATGGTCGTGATGTTCCACAAAGTGAAATTGATTTCCTAAAGTAAACACCGTCTTGAGATCAAAGCAAGATCTCAAACCCCATCAAAGTTTAGTCGAATCTATACAATATTCTAGTTTAATTTTTGTACTATTGTTTGAATGTGTTTATAACAGTGTCTCTTCATGAATCATTGATTATGAAGCCCTTGGTTATACAGCTATGATGCATTGAATGTTATTAGTTATTATGCAAATAGTTCAACTCAATGACGTCAAAGAACATCGACCGACCCGTATCCTTCCTTGTGGTGTTCAAATACGAAGCGATAATTCTATAGCCTTTGCGTGTCGATGAAATTCTCATGGTGAAACACCTATAATCCCTATCGAACAAAAACCTATTCTAAAACGTGTTGAAGTCGCTTGGGATTTCTTTTATGGTTTAATCTATCGTCACGCAACGATAATAAACGGTACTCATATACTGATCAAGTAAGTTTTTAGCAATCATGTAAAGAATAATATGATATAGCTGATAAAATCATACTCGATCATAAAACCAGGCAACTAAATAGATTTCCTACTGTAGCGTCTCAGAACTATTATACCTTTACATCGTCAGTGAATTTGTATTAAAGTGCTGACTGATATAACTGAGACACACCGCCAAGGTTAAGCTGTTGTCAGATGTTGGTATTTGTTTAGTATTTTGGTGTTTCTATGTATCTGTGATCGTTTAGCTCGCCGATCAGAGAAGGAGTCTCTGCTCGCCGATAGAAAACTCTTACTTCATTAGTGCATGTTTGTTCTCACCGTCAACTGAAATTCTTTTGAATCATTTCTTTTGTTGTTGGGAAATAAGGTTGTAGTTAGGGTATTACAGTTTGTGAGCAGCGACGTATTATTCTACCGATGCAGCAAATCATTCGTAATACAGAAATTCATTTGTTTAGAATAAACAGACCTCTTGGACCTCTTGTCTTAGATATGAAAGATTACAATTAATCATGATTACCACCCATTTCCAAAGATATCACCAATACGTTGTATTGTATCTGCCAACTATTATAAAATAATAAACTAAAATAAAATAAAATAATATTCGCAAAATATTTATTGGCCCTTTTTAAGAATGTACATACCTAATGTACATGTATGGGTCCACTGTAATTGACCATGCGGTTGTGGGTGCCAGCCTACAGTACCTGTACTATCGTAGGTGAAGTTCAATAATGTAGTTTTGGTTCTCTTGTGGTCAGATCCTGACGAGGAAATCCTTCCTCAACTTCCACCTAAAGAGGCAGCACTTAAAGAGACAGCACCTAAAGAGGCAGCGCCTGAAGAGGCAGCAGATTCCATGTCTTCCTCCAGCAGTCAGAACAGCAGATATCACAATTCTGCAGAAAGACAAAAAGAAAGTGATGATGAGATGAGTTATCACAGTGGATATAGTGAACAAAATGAAATAGAAGCATCTCTTCCCAGCCATGCATTCAAGGCAGTTCGTGGRCTACCGTCAAATAATGCACTAAAACAAAACATGAGAAGAACATTAAGGGAAAGAAAGCCAAAGCTTCGTGGTAATCTTGAGGTTGATGGTAGAGGTTTTAGTGTTGACAATGATGAAACAGTTGCTAATGAAGATCAAGTTTTCCATGCAGCAGACCTTTCATCACCTGAGTTTGCCGCATTCATGGGAAGAAATGCGACAGTGAAAGAGGTGCCCACATCAATAAGGCGCAAGCGCAGCATAAGGTATTTGTATATGCAATAACATGTTGTTTTGGTATAAGAGGAATAAATACTACAAATGATATTTAAAACTTGTTGGTAATAACTTTTTATAAGGTGCATATAGATGAGCAAAATTATGTGTACATCACTTTAAGAATATCCTAGGATTGCCTATATAGAAGTTGCTTTAATGTGTTTTTTTTTTTCATTTACAGGGAAAATTTGAACAATGAAGTACGTAAAAATGATAAGACAAAACACATCAGTGCCTGGAAACATTTTCAATTAAATTTTGCCATGGTAAGGAAATTCAAAATTTTAACTTAATGATACAAATAATAAATACTATATTTAAAAATAGATTTAAAAGTTTAGTTTTTCTTTACCGGTAAAACCATCCACTAGCATTTACTCTTGTAATATTTACTTTCCTTAAATCAGGGAAAAACTGTGCCCTCGGCATTGAAAACAGACTCGGCCTACATGTACATGTAGCTATAGATCCTTTGCTATACAGTACATCAGAATGTAGCTCAATTTGGAGGACATGATAGGTTTCCAATTCTTAAGAGATTGAAATTWTTTTTTTTTTGAGCTGCTTTGACATCACACGTGAGGGGTAGCCTATTGGCGTTGTTCTGTATATTTATAAAGACCTCAGACACAGTTTTTTCCTATCCAGACCATCTGGCCAGTAAATAACCTCTATCTATTGTTATTGCGTGTGATACAGGGCTGGCAGCAATTTAAAGCTGAATGTAAAGAGCTTCTCTATGTCATGGACATTTGGGGAGGCCATTTAAAAACCATTCAAGGTATAATATGCGAAAGGCTTTTTAGAGATGCTTTTTTGTTAAAATGTGTGGTTCCAGAAATTATCCATACCCTCTTCCCACAGAGGAATTTTTTAAAGACCCCCCCCCCCTCCACATACCCCTAGTCACTAGTCTCCTATGAGCTGAGTGAGCATTGAAGGATGACACTAATAGCGCCTGCACAAGGCTCCAAATAGGAATTTTTATTAGCCTGCCATAGTAAAGGAGCATGGTAAAAGGAGGTCATTCCAGTAAATTTTGCATGCCATTTTATTGTTCATTTGTCAGCACATCGTTATTTTTGCATGGCAAACCTGAAATTTGGCCTGTTATTTGAACATTGGCAGGCCGTACCCCAGTTTTCTTCCATACAAACTCTGTAATTTTGTTCTTTATCTGAGCAATACAATAAAATTTTAAAAAGAATTAATAGCAATTTATTTATTTAATTAACAGGAATGTTTGGTTCAGGGGTATTATCTTACTTTGTGCTTCTGAGATGGCTTTTCCTCATCAACTTGGTTGTATTTTCTCTAACTATTTTCTTCCTGGTTATTCCACAAATGGTATACCAACCAAGTTTTGAAAACAACAGTRCAAGTTTTAGGGGCTGGGAGCTACTTACAGGAGATGTGAGTTGCCTTGTCAAATCTGCATGATAGCATTACATTCTAGGGATATATTTAGAATTTTCTTGATCACTAGGGGGTTTGACTAGCAAACCAAACCAAAAAAGGGACTGTAGATTAGCGAACAAAAAAAACAGCCTCTAGCTTCTAATTGGGGGGTTTGTACTCTCCCTTTAGGGGATTTAGATAAAATCAAGATGATCTAAAAAAAAWATTCATAGTTGTTATTAGATCTTCCCCTGCATTCAAATTGAGTTTGTTTATTGTTTTTATTGTTACTGCAAAGGTTTATCTCCAGGTACTTGGGTTAATCTCCCATTGTATTCATGATAATAATGATGATATAAGACATAGTAATAATGATGACACTTGTCTTAAAAAGTCTACTTTCTCTATTAATTATTTTTCCTTTTGTGTTTATCTTTGTAGGGTTATTTTACCAAGACAGAGCTTTACTATGGCTCATATACAAACAAATCTATCCCAATGAGTTCTAACAGTGAGTTAGTGTACAAGATGCCACTGGCCTACTTATGCGTAGGTGGAGGCTATCTGCTTTTGTGCCTTGCAATTCTGGTCTACAGGTATGTAGAACACAATAATCTATGAGAAATTTTTAATACTTCAAACTTTTGATAGGAACATGAATTATACAGTAAGAAAACAGGTCTTGTCAAATGTTGTTGGAAATTCCATAGTTTTATTTTATTTGTTTTAATTTTGAGCAACAGAGTAAAATTATAGATACATGCAAATACCTTGCATACTGCATAAAAGATTATGTGAGCTTGATAAACCATCTAAATAAAAAAGTCTGATTAATAATATGATTAATAGAATGCAGAGAATGATGTGAATGACAAAAGAATTTCGAATTTTGACATACGGTACAAAATTTAATGAGAATGATTTTAAATGAGGATTTTTTTCAATTTTAATGGTGATTTATGCATGCAAATTAAACACTGTTTTTTTTCCCCCCAGCATGGCTGAGTCATACAGAGAGAACTACATCTACGCAGGTGATGAGTTTAGTTTTTATATAGCCAAGTTATTCTGTGCATGGGATTATGGAATCACTGACCAAGAATCAGCAGCACTGAAGCAAAAAAGCATCTACAATGACTTTAAGGTACTGTATGCTAATTTTCAGAGACCATTACAGGTGTATGAGTGGCAATATTTTATAAAATATATAATTGCAGAATAAGTAATGCTTGTTTCAATGTATATTGATTCTTGATTTTCTCTCTCTAATAGGAAGTTATAGCAGATCAGTTTTTCCACAAGGAACAGTCAGCTAAGGAGCTATGCTTTTTGATATCAATTCGTTTAATTACCAACCTTTTGGTAGTGGCATTAATCGGCGGAGGATCATTTCTGATTTACTTTTGTTCAACGAATTCTTTCACGGTAGTGAATTATTTTTAAGAATTTATGAGAAGATTACATTGATAGTTGCTGTCCTCTCAAGCCATTGATCAGTTTCTAGCTTGGTCTTCCTCAAATGAGATGACTTGCAATCCTCTAAATGCAAATCTTTGCCTTTAAAGAAAAAATAACCTCTATTACCCAGACCACATCTTCCCAACATCACAGAATATTATCAGCTGAAAGTAGACTGCTCTTTGTATTTTTTTTTTTTTTTTTTTTTTTTTTGGAATCAGGTTGATGCTGGGGAGTTTGATAAACTGTTATTTCCAATCATTGTCTCTGCACTCAATCTGGTACTTCCAGTAACATTCAGGATCATTGCCAGCTTGGAACAATATCAACACCCAAGAACTACAATCAACATCAATCTTGCAAGGTACTTTAATCCTTTCAGTTTGTTACTATCTTATGTTTTACTTTAATTGGACAGTTTCAACTAAATATTGATGAAAAAACGTGATCTGAACTTTGTTATGCTATAACATAGGTGCAACAAAAAACATGCTCTATATGGCTCTATTAGAGAACAAAGCACAGTGCTGACACCAGCCATACATGCATGCCAGCAACACACAAGTGTAGATGTATAAATAATTACTTAATATATAAATATTTTTTTGATCATTATATTTAAACAGGAAGCCCATGTCTCCAAGGAGTTTTTCAATGGGTCCCTATGTTTTACAAAAAAAAATATTAAAAAATATATAGCTGAAAATAGCCTTGACCTTTTGAATGCATTCTTATGAAAAGCTAGTACTTGAATATTGAATATTGTTAGCTAAGTGTTGTAACCTTTCTATATTTATTTGTACCTCGTAGGACAGTATTGCTTAAATTGACATCACTTGGTGTCRTCCTCATAGCCTTGTTTTCTGATGTAACAATTTGCCGCAAGGGACAGGATTTGGGTGATAAAAAATGTCTGCCGGTAAGAGTCCTCATACAAATTGTTTTCAGTGGATAAAATAAATTGTTGCAACTCAAAATTACTTCATTTTAATTATTTATAACTTTTTGTGTCTTCAAAGTGTCCAAGTTTAATGGAATCCCTTAAAATCTTATCAGTTATTCATGATTTATAATATTATTCTTTTTATCTAATGTCATCAGCTTATATAATAATTATAAAAATAATCATATAATTTCTATTTGTTTTTTAGGAAATAAAAGAGTGCTGGGAGACACATATAGGAATTTCATTTTATCGGCTGATTGTTGTTGACTTTGTGTTTCTGTTGTTATCAACATTTTTTGGAGAATTTGTGAGAAGGTTAGTTCCTACCTGAAAACATTACTGTATGTGGGAGTCTTGTAGTTTGAGTCACTTGTATACAGATTTATGAGGTAATCATGTATTTTATGACCAGCAGACACATGTTGGTAGACTATCGGCCGTGTGTTGATCGAGCGTTGGCCAACTATCTGCCGTGTGTTGACAGTGTATTGGCCGACCATCGGCTRTGTGTTGAGCAAGGTTTGGCCAACGCATGGTCAACAGTTTCGGTACTTTTTCGGGTTTTGTTGTGGGTTGATGTACGGCCAATGCACGACCACATGATTTATGGTGATGGTCAGTTGGGAGAAAAAATATTGTTTATTGGTTGTAGTCACGAAGCACTGTAAAACTTCACTGTAAGCAGTTGTATCATGATTTTCCAACTGCACAGTAATTCTGAGCTAATGGTTTATATTGTCCATTCTCTCAATCCAGATTAAACTTATAGTGGAATTGCAATTCTTATCCATTACTGAACTCTAACCTCAGAATGAGGCTATTACCCATGAAAAAAATAATTTTGTATCTACGTCTTACCATTTTAGTTTGATGACTAAACACATTGGATGGTGTGGTCAAAATGTTGGTTATCCAGGCTTTGACATTTCTCGTAATGTGCTTGATCTTGTGTATTGTCAGAGCTTGGCATGGTGAGTGCATGACTAGAAAATAAAAGTTAAAGTTATTATATCATTGTAAATATACAAAAAAAAAAAGATTACTGAGACCCTAAGATCCTTTAAATATATGAAATTGCCTTGTAATCGTTGTGCATAACGAAACGTTTTATAACGTTTTTGATAACTACTGTATGACACCTATGTACAACATACTCAATTTAAGATACTGCGTAATTGATTATGACAAATTCTTAATTCCACTAGGAAAACTGCTGGAATGGTGATTGGGTTGTTATTGTCCGAGTTGGTACTATGAATAATGCCACCATATGCATACATCAGCAATCATTAAGCCTGGTTCTCACTAGCGACAAACCAATGCAAGCAAAGCACAAATGCAATAAAAACAAAATCTTCTATTCTCTTGCCCTTGYGCTTATGTCGCTTCTTTCATAGTGAGGACGCGTTGGCTTTGCTCAGCTTGTGTCGCTACTGAGAACAAGGCTTAAGGATTTTTTGAGTGAAAATTTGAATATCAAATTTGCTTATTGTGATATTTTTATTTTTTTCTAGGATTGGTACATTTTTCAGTCCACTTATCTCTGCTGTCAATGTCTTCAAGTTGCTATTTTTGTTTTACATAAAAAGGGTAAGTACTGACTAGTCTGCATGCCTATTTTTTAATCATTTATATACCCCTTGCACTATGTTCCGAGAGGAATTGTTCTGGAGAAAACAATGGATGTCTTTTTGTATAAGAAAAGACAACCTATTTTTTTGTCCTCCTCTAGGAAATCAATGCAAGTGGTCTATTACTTATGATTTATTCTTGTTTAATGTCAGATAAGTGTGGTTAACAATTGTAAGGTATCTGGGCGACCATTCCGTGCAGCGAAGATGAACCTGCTGTTCTTGGTTCTGCTTGGTGTTGCATTTTTGGTATCAATTATTACTGTTGGATACACAGTTATGTCAGAAAGTGAAAACATGTAAGTATCCAGCATTCTTACCACACTTGTTGGGTGGCAGGGGCGGCTTAATGGTTCACCGCTTGCCTCTCACCAATGTGATCCAGGTTCGAGCCCCCGCTTAGACTGGATCATTTGTGAGTTGAGTTTGTTTGATAAGTTGTTCTCTCCCTTCCCTCTGTAAAAATCAACATGTGAGTTGAGTGTTGTATGTTGTAAGTATAGAATGTAGTGGTAGTGCATGTGGATGGAATCTCACAGAAGAGCCCTGTACGGGAGTGGTGGTTGTAAAATAGATATTTATAACTCTATTAGCTTTCATGATAAGTCTTTCCAATCAGGAGATCTAGGCGACAACTTTGCTAAGCTACCCCACGCATGTGCAACAAATATAACGTCCTACATCTGCAGAGCCCATTTCCTCCCCCCCCTCCCCCCTCCCAATCAATTACTACTGTAAACTGTGCTAGCAGGTGATTGTCGCCCATGTACAGTTGTTGCAGGGGGAGAGCAGATAATATTTCGCCCTCTGAGAAAGAACACATAAGCTTACAGGAAACAAATAACGAAAAGTTTTCGTTGTTTTCAGGTTAAAACCTTCCAAAAATTGCGGGCCTTTCAGGTAAATAGCAATATTATCATTTACCATAAAAGTTTAGAAAGAAATCAACTTTACACGACTTGAAACCAGACAATAAGCCTACTTTGGCGAAGTTCCTTTTTGTTCTTCTAACGTAATATTATTATAAGGAAAAGAGATCTACCAAACGTATTCAAACTAAACTCAATATTTTAGTGCTGTTTGTGTTGTTGTTGTTGGAAAATTCAAATATATGCGGACATTACTGTATAAAGTCTTACCTTACTTTGAGTCTCTTTGAAAGCACAAAAAGAAAATATATTAGGAACCGCTTTTTCTTCGAATATGGTAAAAAAATTTATAGAATTTTGAGCTGTCCTCTCTGCTGTCTTCACATGAAGCACACACAGGAACTGCACACCTTCGCGCATGTACGATGCCACGCGCGCGCTTCATCATGTGACTTTTCCCGCGCATTTCCCCCGCCTTCGCCATGTGCTAACACAACTCTATCTTCGGTTAACGACCTTTGAGAATTTTTGTTGCATTTTTTTAGTATTTCGTTTTTAAAATCTTCTACGCCTTTTATAAATAATTTTATTTTTCTCCACACAGAGAATTGGAAAGCATGTATTCTGTTATCACCGCGGAGCTAAGGGACTTTCCATCAGAATTAAAAATAGCAATTGAATACTTGTCCTCGGCAAGCTTTCTTGCCATGCTGTTTTGTATTCTTGGGTAAGGATTTTCAAGATGGATCTTTATGAAAGTCGTTATCAGATTGATTTTGACGCATTTTCCATATCCCATTTGAATAGGATCGTTGTATATTATTACAAAATGCTGAAAGACTCAAACGAAAAGAAGATCAAACTTTTGAAAGAACAAATAGCTCTTGTAAGTAGTTATTAGTCTGTAAATGTCTTTTTCTGTTTTTCAAATCCAGCTATACAGTCAGAGTATTAATATTAGTGCGGCAATTTCGCATGACTATGCCGGGATCTATGCCACTATGAGACACGCAAAATGTCACAAATGTTTCTCAAAACTCTGAAAATCGCATTTTCACTGGTCTCAATTTCGACATTTTCCTGGGGTGCATGCTTCCAAACCCCTCCTCGTTGAGTCCTGCCTTCGTCGCTCTTGCCTCGGAAAACAATCCGGCTTGGCTACGGCCCTGCATGCTTGTATTGTCGGGTAACTCCGAAGTCTTATCTTGATTTTCCTTGACAACCTGAGAAACAGCCAGTGACCCATAAATACAGTTTACACCTATTTCAAAAAACGTTGTCGGTCGGAGATCTGAAATCCGTGACCGACTGAGTAACACGCTGCAAAATGTACTGAATATACTTTACCGCAGCCGGAACAACGCGGTAGTTTCGGCTTTTAAATTTGAATATAAGCATCAGTGACCATGATAGCCCATCTCAGATCTCTGTCCGTTAACGTTTTTTGACCGTGGTACGCTAGACACGTGGTACGTGTTCACAAAAACCCCGATACTGGAAATGGTTAAGTAACAAGTCTGTTCTTTGGTTACGTAGGCTGGTCAAGACAAGCTTTACCTTATGAGAAAAATAACGACAGGTGTTGCGATGGCTGATGTGAATGTTCAACCCAGTCAGCAGTACTGAAAACAAACAAGTCAAGGCATATTGTTTTGATTCATTCTTTCCTTCAATGAACCTACAGCAACCTAAACGTTTCCAACGTTTCCTATTTTTATAGTTTGTTTTGGTTACTTAGTGCACAAACATTATAATTGAAATCTTAACAAAAGAAACTTTTGGATGTTCCATTTCCATCAAAATACTCAAAACATGGAAAATGAATTTCCAAGATTTTTTTTTTGTTACAGGTAGTGCTTGAAGTAATGTTCCCATTCAATAATCAATATTTATATCACCAATAGCAACACCATAGCAAATAGTGCTCTATAGTGGTAATATTTAATCATTAGCAATATAATATTTACACCTCACGATTGAAAAAATGAAGAGAGGGACTCAGAACATGAGATACCTGTAAGAGCAAGTAGAACAGATATTGCACTTCAAGAGGCCCAAATCGCTGTTAAATGTGCTGGATACACAAGTTTTTAGGAATATTTTCCCTGGAAATTTTGCTATTCTAAAAGAATATATGAAATGAGAGGAATAAAATGAAACGAACTGGAAATTTAAGAAAAATTTGGGAAATTGAAATTTTAGGGTCAAAGCTCAGGGCCGTAACCAGAACTTTTACAGGGAGGGTGCACATAGAATAAAATCGGACCATTGATCGTTTTTTTTATTACCAACTCAGTGACGTAATTAGGGATCTTACAGGAAGGTGCACAGGCAATAATTTGCAGAACCAAAAAGAAAAAAAAGGTAACCAAAAGAAAGCAGAACTGAAAAAAAACCTAACCAGAAGAAAGCAGAACCAAAAAAAGAAAGGAGATGGATGAGCGGACCTTAAGCTTTTATGGGGGTTGCATGTGCACCCTGTGCTCCCCCCTGGTTACGGCCCTGAAGCTAATTCATTTTTGCCTTGCTTGTATCATTGGTATCTGGTAGAATCCAGGCCAGGGAAGGGTAATGATAGAATTCAACAAAGAAGGTTAGAATGGAGGAACTTCTAAAACTCCTCAATCCCATTTTTTAGTAAGACATCATTTGTTAGATATTGTGCAACTTAATATGTATTATAATTCTAAGCACATTAGCAACAATGGTTTAACTATTTTAATACTATAATATTTTTTGATAAATACATTGTAAAATATATTCAATTTTAAAGTCTTTGTTGTTATCAGTTTTAAATTCATTATTTTCCCTACCAGATAAAATACAAGTAAAGGTAACATAACCCTGTTTTTGCCATAGAAATAGTTTACATGCAATATTTTAGAATTCACCCTTCCATATCACGTAAAGTCATGACATCTCTGGATAATTCATCCCATTAAACCCCATGAAAGAAAAACAAAAAGCAAAATAGATTTCTTAAAATTTTCCAACCTTACTTGCCAAGTTACAAATACATTATATATTCTAGTTAATAAATGTATCTTCTACATGCGTAGAGCAACCTCAAAGCCCATTACATAAGCAAGCTGACTTCTTGCAATAACAGAAAGGCTTGGAGGGCATTTACCATCTGGTAACTTTTGCATGGCTTCCTCAAGATCAGTCTTCAAAGGTCCTTTTAATTGCCATTTGAGACATATTAAATAAGGGAGCAAGTTTTGGCTTATGAGTAGTTGGCAGTTTTCTTTCAAATATAACATGTGTTTGATACAAAATACTCCCATTTTCTGTGTTTCTGTAGTCCCGGGCCATCTACCATATTTATATCTTGTCTCATCTTTAACATTTTGAGTCTCTTGTGCATCACATTTTACACCTCCAGCAAAAGCAACGCTCACAAATGGAACTAGAGTGACCCAAACATAGTTGTGTTTTTCCTCCCAGCTAGAAACATCTTTAGGGCTGTGCTCATTCATGAATGAAGAGAGCAATCCATCTATTTGTTCAGTAACTTCAGGCTCCAATTTCACCAGGGGACAAACAAGAATCCTTGCCAGAAAGAGACAGCAGTAATACCTGAGGAAAAGAATAGCAAACATTGCAACAAATTAGTTTTGTTATAATAATGAAAGAATGAATTTATTTTATTTTACTAGTTAAAGAAAATGTCAAAAAATTTTCATCTTACCTCAAAGCCATATTATGATCTTGGTTCAAAAGCTTTGTCGTTAGTTCAATCATTTTAATGTGAACTCCATTATCTACAAATGCCACTGGGGATTTGATATTACATGCACAGCAGAACAGAGTGTTGGCAGAAATCTGGCTTGAATACAGAGGATAATAACTTGTCTCTCGCTTCAAGCGGCATTCTACCATGTACATAAGCTTGTTTACTATTGCTCTGTTGTTGGCAAGAGTCTGTTGTGTGTCTTGAAATTCAGCATACCTAACAATTCAAAGCAACAACGAAACATGTTTAGAACATTACGATGGATAAAGCATAATGCAAATTGCATTCAATTATCAAAAATAAAAACTAATAACACTATTCACCACTGCAAGCACAGCAGTGGCACAGCTCAACAGGGTCAAACTGAAAGCAATGAGAAGGCAATATTATTATTGCAGCCACTATACTGAGTCAATCCCTGAAGCACAGCTCAGGGGAGTCAGGATGGCGTGGTGGTAAAACACTCACCTCTCACCTCTGAGGTCCGGAGTTCGTATCTCAGTCACCCCACGTGAGCTGAGTTGGTTGGTTCTCTTTCTGACTCCAAATGTTTTTCCGGTCCACCGGTTTTTCCTCCCTCATCTCAAATCAACCCTAACTAATTCAAACTGGTTAGAGCTGTGCTCCGGGGTCATACATGGACTGTATAGTGGCTGCCAGAGGCGCCTTCTCATGCTTTCAGTTCTACCCTGTTGAGCTGTGCCACTGCTGTACTTGCGGTGGTGATAAGCGATGACAAGTTTTTTTCGAACCAGTTTGAATATTTAGTAAGGGGTCAGTTGGAGAGGAGGGAAGAAAAAACAGAGAGCTGAAATAATCCCGGAGTCAGAAAAAGAACCAACCAATAATTCAACCATGGAAGTCAGTCATTCAAATATGATTAAAAAAAAGCCATCTACTATTGCAGTATTAACTCCAAGCTCTAGGTCATAAAAGGGGTATCCAATGGTTTGTTTTTCTCAAGTGGAAGGTGTATTTTGTATAGATTATTTAATAAGTACATTAATTGTCACTCTTTATTGTTTTGAATTGTCCCAGAAGCTAAAGCAATGACTCGTTAATAATGAGTTACATAACTGTTGTAAAACATTCTCTAGTTAAAGGAAAAGACAAACTTACTGAACAAGGCTACCAACAGCTGTTTCATTGATACTCAGAATCGCCCAGAAAGTATCATTATTTTCATCACAATCATTAGGGTTAAGGAGCAGTGCATCACACACTAGTTGTAAACCACCATGTTGTAAAACTATTTGTCTAGTTTCGCTTGTCTCAGAGAAGTTCCACAGTAAACTCAAACAGTGCATCTGCAAAACCATCTGTTCATTGTTGTAATATTCAACTTGAATCTCCAGGTCTGAAATATCACTTTTGCCGTCATCACTTAAGTAAATAAGAAAAGTTAGGAATTTAGAAAAAAATATCAAGGGCGGATCCAGCCAGAATTTTAGGGGGGGGGCTAATTGAGTTTAGGGGGGGCTAATTGAGTTTCTTCCATCAACACAATGGAAAACAATATAAAAAAGCATCGTTTTTTTCTACTGAAGGGGGGGGGCTTCAGCCCCCCTTTGCCGCCCCCTGGATCCGCCCTTGAATATTTATTATCAACAACAATCATCATCAGTATCATTATGGGGATTGTCATCATTATCGCTATCACCATTAATATCATCAATCATAATCAACAACATCGATCTATCACAACTTTCATCATCATCAATCCTCAACATCATTTTCACCATCATACAATTGTGGATTGTCATCATCATCACTCATCAGCAGCAGCAGTAACTATCATCAAATCATTAGTATTTATTTATTTACTTATTTTTATTTAAACATATAAATTCTTCAAGTTTGCTCCAAGAGCTCTCATTCGAGCTCATCTAGGGAGTTCACTTAATAAAAGATTTACACATTTGGATGTGGAGTACAAACACACACACAAGGAAAGAAGAAAAACTAACCAAAAAAAAAAGAAAAGAAAAGAAAAAGTATTTATGATCAATAGTATGTACTATGGCTGTACATCTTGCATATATTACCTGTCCACCAGTCTGTATCGTAGCATAGAGAATTTAAACACCTCCATGAAGTCATCAAAAGACCCTTCTTGAACGAAGTAGTGTCTCTGAGCAACAGTTATAGCAGTCTTCCATGGTATAAAATATTCAAACGCTAAATTTTCCATCGACATGACTACAAGGTCATAGTTTGGAAAGCCTGAAAAATCTGTAGACCTCGAGATTTCGAAGAGATTTGGGTCTCTGTGAATAACTTGTCTTGAAAATTCCTTTAGATTAGCAATGAGTGGTTTCATACCATCAATATCTGCAGTAGCAGAATATTCAACTTTGATTGAGTCGCCATCTCGAAGGTACAAGCAACTTAGGCTCAACGTATCATCACTCAAAGCATTCCCACGGTAAAATAATTTCTGGTCACAGACAGGCACACTTAAAGTATCTTGAATAACATACTTGATATCATTAATCGATTTATTTTGCCAGGATTTGAAGACAAGTTTCGTAGTATCATATTTACCAGAATCAAGGCAAATGGATTCAAGTTTGACCCACAATGAAGACATCTTACGAAGATTAGGACATCTACGTCACATAAAAACTATAGAGTCTCTCTCTTTCGTCCATTATGAAGCTTATTTCATGGTATTGAGCCGATATTTATCTTCTCATCGCAAAAACATCGTGTTGTTRTGAATTTTTTGCTTGTCCCACAATGCATTTAGTTACTGAGAGAGCGCAAGGTATCATGGGTACTTGTAGACCTTTGCGCAAAACTTTGATCAGTTTACATGCACTTCTCGGCGATTTCTCCAACTAAAACGAATTCTAATCGATTCAAAGTGTCCTACTTTGTAGAGAAACCTTGCTCAGTTCCCAAATTGTATTGTTTCTATCGTTTTTAAAGGCCCAACTTCTATAAAGGGTGACGGCAGCCATGTAAGATGGCAGGAACAATACAATCGTTTTACGTAAGAAAAAAATTAGTTCCCGAGAGCAAAGGGATCTTATTATCCTACTATCTACAAATAACCCTAGCTGTATTATGGGCGTGGGCACGTTCTAACATGGATAATAGTATTCGATAATAGTATTGTCATTTGAAGTGCGAGTGGTACAAAGTTCAATATTGCACGAGGTTTTTAAGTGATTCAAATTATCATTTATTTCACAATCTTTAACTGAGATGTAGTATAATATTTCATGTTTTCAGTGTTAATGACTGGCCAGGGTAAATGTGTTTTTACAGCTTGTTCAAGTATTCCTCCGCAGTCTGATAGATACTAGTGGGTGGTGTTGGATACTCGCATTCCTTGCTTTGAAGGGTTGCAAGTGGTTTATTGTAGAACCGTGTGAAGCCATTGTTTTTCAGGAACGTCTTAACTTCTTCATCGTATTCTTTAGTAAACGCTTCTGGATCTCTTGCCAGCACGAACATGGATAACTGTAAACTATCAGTGACGATTGAATACTGATACTGCTTGTCAGATCCGAAAGTCTGTGGGCCAAGCTTAACAATCCAATCTGAAATAGAGGTTGGTATATACTCTTACCAAAAGACATTTTTATGTAGCTTGTGCAAGAGAAGTTGCGAGAGGATTCTATTTTGCAGCTCAGTACGCAACGCGGAAAAATATTGTYGTGAGTTGCGCAGTAGAAATATAGTGTCCCACTTCCGTCAACGCTAGGCACATGCTCATTATAGCATGAGGAGCCAGCGCTGTCCTCGAGACAGGGCCGTAGCCACCACGTACTTTTTGTCTTCAGAACCATCCCCCCTTCCCTCCCCGCGTAAAAAATATTTATTGCACAAGTAAATTAAAAAACAGGACCACCTTTTTTTAAACAGGACCATTGTTCAATTGCCGGTGGCTACGGCTTGGAGAAACTGGAATGATTTTTATCCTCGCAATCTTTTGTTATGAATTGCATCGGTGAAAAATGATATAGTATCGAACCTAAGTATGGTACAACGAGATGGGAATGGGGATTCAATAAAGAGATGAAGAGAAATAAATAAAATAGAAGGATATTTTTGAAGGGTACTTACAGGAACCATCAACAGGAGCGACATCGAAGTGAACCTTCAGTTTTCCAGGTACCTTTGGGTCGGGGGTGTAGGCGTATCCAGTTATCTGCTTCAGTTCTCCTGTTGGTGTCTTGATACGCAGGCTGTTCAAAACTCCAATCTTACCATCTTTCCTCAGAGTATCTTGAAAATACACAAATTAAAGAATTTAATTTGGAAGCTGACTTAGCAACGAAAAATTCCACTAACTTACAATCAGCACAGATGCAAACACCGTTTCGCTCAAATGTAGACATCACTGTTAAGTCTGAGTACATCTGCGAAGAAATAAGAGGTCATCCTTGAAACTAGCTTTCAAATATTTAAGAACTGRTGACGTAACTACAATGCGTGACACTCGTCACAATATCGTGACGCGTCCCTCGTGACCATGAGGTGACCTCTCCCCCTTTAAAAAAGATCAAATTCCACTCTGACGAACTACAGCAGCTGATTACATAACTACTCGTGAATGAGCTTGGAAAAAAGTCTTTTCAAATATAAATTGCGAGTTAATACATGAAATTTTACACTAAGAAGTAATGCTCTTGAAGTATAGAGTCAAGATTTGTAAGTGTGTTCATTAAAGCAGCTAGCTATAACGTTTCTCTATCAATACTAGTACTAAATACTTGCAAGTAAGCACCAATGCAAATGACATTTAAATCAGAATGATCTTTTTTCTAGTAGGAGTACGAATTAACAAGTTTATAGGAATAATATATAGCAAAAATGCGAAGTCTGGAAAGTACTTCATGTTAATACTTTACCTGGTACCACCTCCCAAGATACTGGGTTGTATTCACTTTGGATACCACATCAATACCAAGACATGATGGATATACAGCCACGGCGAGAAGCAAAACTTGAACCAAAACCTTCATTTCTCTGGGATGCGTCTAACGTTTGGGCAAGCGTTGAAGTGGATACACTGAAGGGTTGCTGCAAGTTGTGTGAGACAAAAGTTATGTAACGTCACCGAGTCACGAGTCGAATAATCGCGTATGGTAAATATGACGTCATTGATGGTAAAACATGTAAAAGGTCTCTTTTTGCGCTCCCCCTCCTCCCCCCGGGAGCAAAGGCTGAGAAAGTTGTAAGCTAATGTTAGAATTAAGCGTGAAGAAATTCCTGAAATTCTACTAAGCCTAACCAATTTCATTCCTTGATGTATCGAGTCTTCAGGTAAAGGTTGGATGAAAAGGAATTTCTTTGACACTGAGTAGACTGAAAATGAAATAAACTTTGCCGCTCGAAGACTGGGAATCGGCTACACTATGACGAGTAAACTAGGAGAGTTCCATATCAATTTCATTATTTTCCAATAGAAAAAGAAGAAGAAGAAGAAGAAGAAGAAGAAGAAGAAAAGTACAAGGCAAATTATTGAGTAGGTATAAGCCTTTACATGCAGGTCACCCATCCATTTACTAACCCTGCCCGACCGGGCTTGACTCAGTGTTTTGGAAGCCCAAGGTTATTTCCACTCGGCCACGGTTCCAAGAAATTAGCATAAACAATAGAGGTGAAAACAATGCACCGAATAGACTAGATTTTAGATTTTCTTGCGTAATTCGTACACCCAAGGGCAGAAGGATTTAATCGCCGTCAGGTCCGAAGTCCATACGACGCCTCAGCTCTGCGGATGTCTCGGGGGTATGGCAAAGTGGRGTCGATTTTTCTTTCTTTTTTTTTTTTTTTTTTTTCTTCTTTTTTTCTTTTCTTTTTTCTTTTCTTTTCTTGTTTTCATTCCTTCTTTCTTTTTTTTTTTCATTCTCTTTTCATTTTATTTTTATTTTCTTTCTTATTTTCTTTTCATTTTCTCTCTTTTTCTTCGAGTTAAAAAATACAAATAAATTAACCTTTATTACTACATTAATATCAAACACTTAGAAATACATATTTATAAGTCATTACTATATCTATCAATAAGTCATTTCTATATCTATTGAAAATAAACAAAATAATGGTTTTTCTTTGTTTTTCTTCGAGTTATATCTCGATCCATGTAGAGCTGCTCTTTCCTGGTTTGAAATTCTTCCTTGGTTCCTCGAGATTTTCTCCAGTTATATTTCATTATCATATGTTGCTGGATGGCTGCTGACTACTGTATCTAGCCGAGAAGGGTTGCCCATTTTCCCATGCAAGCGACAAATAATTCAGTCCAATCCCCCACTTGTTTCCGCCGTGGGCAATTAGTGATGAACCAAAATGCGGTCATATTTTCAGCCCATTCACGTCTAACTCCAGCCTGATTGCTTTGGCACCCGGCGAGAGTTTGTTCTCTGGATTAACTTGCATTCATCGGATTAACCGGTATTCATCGGTTTATTTGGTTTTAATTCTTCTGCATAAAATGCTTCATTAATACCTCATCTCTGTCTTAACCTCTTCTAGTCCTGTTCACTGTATTAGGCTGCTAAACTTACAGCGAGACGAACCGGGCAGTGTCTTGTATTGAGACGAGGAGTAATTTTGCATCCCCCTTTGAGGTTGATGGAGACATTTATGATAAAGAGAGTGTCTTATTTATCAACCAACCATTTACATGAGACTCTTCAAATTAGCCAGTGTGTGTATAGATTTTTGACTCGCACCCAGGGGTTTTATATCAGGACACTTTAAATGTGTTACCCTGCCAATCAATCTCACTCTTGGTACTTGTTTACGTCACATTTTTTCACCGTATACGTATATACTTTATAGTAATGCCCAATAGAGCTGGAGGGCAATCAAGTTCCTAAGGAATGATATGCGGTATATTCGAACCATTTTCAACGCCAAATTTAACAGGAAAAAACATGCCAACGACATGCGCGGGTAGTTCCCAATCTTCGTTGCGAAGTGTGGTTACAAGGCCGGATGGGAATCGTCCGATCATCACCTGTATCAAGGAAATCGTAATTTATCAAATACACTTATCCTTAACTCATTGCCGGTTCTGTAAATATTTGGTTGTGATTAAAAACATGTTGATCCACTTTGAATGGGTCATATTTGGGATATTCGTGTTGAATCGATGGGAGGTCATAACTGACTTAATCCTCAGTACCTCTTAAATACTATCCAACATGTATCGCTGTACACAAGTACCTAACTCACAACCCTCTGTCTGATATGTGATTGTTTGTTTGATAGTTCAGGACTGGACCTACAAAAGCTGTTTGCTTAACAATAGTTTATCGTTCAATAGACATGAGAGACATGTCAGTTCATCATTAGGCTTCGCATGTCACTCCCTCGGGCTACTTGTCAGTGTTTCGATTAAGGAAGACTATACATGTGTGACATGTGCAAACCTTATTCACGAGCAGATTTCCATCCATCCGACTACTTCGTTTCTCTGGCTTATAACAAACTTAGTGGCTACCACTACTCTAGAAAAACTTAAACTAGCTTTCCTAAGTACGTACTGCTCATATAGTCACTGAATTGCAAGTCTTAAAGACTTGCAGGAAGACGCTTTTGAGTTTCGGTTTTTCTGTTTTCTTGAAAACCTWGTTAGTACCTCGATGACTTTTCACCTTCCATTAAAATATAAAACCAATGTACATTTTTTCATTTATGATAGCATTGTATTACAGTAAAGTTGCTTATTTGATTGCTGTCTTTGATTTAGAAAATGAAGAAAATGTCTTACTGGGAATTGGGACACGAGTTTTAATTTTCAGCACTGCCCCCTGCTGCAGAAGCCGCCGGTTCACGCGAGAAGAAAGCCTGGGATAAATCGTTGACACTCTAGATTTTCTTGTTCTGTTTTAGCATTTTACCAGTCAGCAAAATATTTGGATAAGGAAAGGCACGATGATCGATCATTTTAAAATCTTTTAAGGAAGTAAATAGCTGTTTTATTGCTTCTCAGGCTAGAAGAGAACTAGCTATTCGAATGCCATGACTAGCAGCTGCATGTGACGCATTCCTTCTTAGCTGTTTTTCCGCTTAAAGGAAGATCATTTTCACGCAAATAAATAAACACCAATTACCTTTGTTTTAATTGTTATTTTATAATTAGCATTGTATTCTGTTTAATTCGTTTGTTTGTTTGTTTAGTTGTTATAGGTTCATATATTTTCATTTTTGCCGAACTCAGAATCTTCTTCTCGGTAAACATGTTCAGACTTTCAAAATGGTTTCCTGCTCTCTCTAAAGAGAGAAGCCGGCGGTTTTTCCCAAAAACTTGTTGAATAAATTAATTTGAAAATCTGTTCTTTAATAAAACTTTTCCCATGTTGCAGCTCAAGTATCTAAACCGCCCAGATGGCCAATAAACTGAGCTTAGAAGAAGACTGACGACAATGAACTTTCAGGCAATCCATCATCCACTGTCTTTGGACTTGGATGTCCCAACAGAAGGAAAAGTTATTGATTATTTGATTAAAGACAAGAAACTTGACTTTTGAATAATATGTTAAGCGTTAATTTGACAATAGCGCGATCTATCAGTAACATCTGTTCCCAACAAACCGATGAAAGCGGTCTAACAACATTTATTGACAACAACACACGAATTTAATTAGTTTTGAGGTCTTTGAGTATTTGAAAATACTTCGCTCCATTCAATTGAATCAATTGGTTTAGGACTGAATCGACAAAGCCGCTTAGGAACGAAAAGCACTCGCTACAAGAGACCATTTTTCAAGCTTAGCACTTGTGGTGAGTAAATCATATATTCATTACTATTCGAAATACACAACACCATTTTCATTGCGGTATATTGGTTATACCAATAGCTGTATTGCGGTGGCGGTCTTTTAGTAGTGCCTAAGTCGCTATTAATGCGCGCAGAACTTTCTTTCAAGTTGTTGCATTCCAGGGAAACATTCAGGAAGTTAGAAAAAGAATAGTAAAAGTTCCCAATACACTTTAGTTTTAGTGCCGTTCAAACTAAGTAAAGGGTACTACTATATATCTACGTCGAAAGTTCTACTCGATGTTCGTCAAGGTACGTACGTATTCACTATCTTTAGTATCATTGCCTACGGGCGAGTAATAAAGGTTCACCCCGACACGATCCGCTATCTTTGATGGTTTATGTGCTCGTCACTTGAATGCTAGTCAATAGATTGAATGGAGAACCATTAAAACCCCAGCTTGTATCAAACGTTCCGTCCACTAAAAACTTGAAAGCTTTTTAAATAGAATAAGTAGCATTTTTAAGATTAATACTAATTCAGTGAGAAGAGTAATATTCATTGTTTAGATATATAATGGCAATACTGGATATAAATATTTACCATTTTTGCCTTCACATAAAGTTTAGTAAAATAGATTTTGCAACTCGCGTTGTCGTAACATCCAATAAAAAAGTAAGTATTTACGTCATAGCGTGTGTCCTAAGAGTAAGCATAAAACACTACCACTGTGAAGGTCATTTCGTGCTGTGTGTAGAGTAGTGGTCCGAGTCTCAAGAGTTAGCAAGTTTATGATACTAATATTTTTCATATATCAAGAAACATTTACCGCTGTACCGTATTTTTTCTACCTTACCAAGATTACGTATCTTTCTCGAATCATGCGAAATTTTACGGAATTAAGGAGACGAAAATATGTCTTTTGATCGTCCTAAATAGCGAACGTCTCAATCGCCCAAGGAGGGGGTAATTGATAAATTACTGAGTGAATCAATAAACTCGCAAGTTATAATGGATAAAAATTGGGCCTGCGAACCGCCTGTAAATTTCCCGCCAATTTGCTGAGCATGCGCAGTACGTTTTTCGATGCCTTTGGGAATTTAACATCTTGAGCATGCGTAGTAAGAAAGCCTTTTTATCTTTAATTCTTTTGCCCAGCGGTTATCAAAATAGACGAAGATCATTCTCAGAAATTACTGATATGTTTTTGTGATTGTCGACTTTGATGCTAATGGTTTTTTTTATGATTTGCTTTTTAAAGCGGAACCGTGAATATCAGATACGAACTGATAACAAGTTGGCAGGGATTTGTAGGAATTCACATTAGCAACTTTACGGTGTTATCTGTTGAGATGAAAACATTAACGAAGAATAAAACATCTTAGAGGAACCTTTAAGACTGGCTGACTGACTGCTAAATCAAAACTGGTTGAAACTACCTTGCGTTCCGCCTAAAAACTCTCCTAACATTTGTAGTTTCATCAAACTATAGTAAAAATACGCAAATACAGTTGATATATTTCTACCGATACCCTGTATTTATTTTAGCAGTTATATGTTGACTTTAGAACATAGAATTGGTTCTCGTAGCAATATCTGGGTGGGTTATTGACAGGTTTACTAGCTAGTCCCCCCCCCCCCTCCCCCCGTTTACTGTCGGTCTAATAGCGAGGGTTTTCCCGATGTAAATACTTCCAAAATATCTTTAGCGGCGATCGCTATTATTAGTAACAGTAATAAGCTATAAAAGAGTACAAATTTCTGAATCACATCACACAAGAATCACCAGATGAACCTTCTATCATAATAAGGGTAAGTACATTTCACTCAGAGCACATATCGTTGAATATGGGCATTTGAAAATTTCTTTTAATTGATATTTGCGCACTATAAATTCATGAATTATAAATTATTTATGGCCCGATAATGAGTTGCGCAATTGCGCAGTTGAATAAAAGGCTATCACGTGGTCTTACCCTGTGCGCTTCCGCAGGAATTCATTTTAAGAAAAAAATCTTCGAACTCTGAGTCAACAAATCGACCTATCGTAACTCTAGAACGTTATTCAGTGAGTTGGCTTCCGGCCACAGTGCCGGTCACAATGCAAGGTATATATACGAAAAGAGAAAACTGAGATAGGACTCTATTTTCCATTTTTTTGTATGTATTTCCAGGAATTAAAATCAGCTATAGTTATTTATTTCTTTTTTGCTATTCTTTGTTCTCGAAAAAAAAGGAGAAAAGATGAAGTGTGTACAAAAAAAGAAAGATCATAATTGTACTTTGTTGCAATTTTGTACAAAACTAATTAACACTTTAATGGTTTTTCGTACGCCTAATACGCAAGTGAAAATTCTGCCCATTCAGTGACTGGAGACAATACAAGCTCTAATAGAAGATATTTGACGAAATCAGTCAAATGGTTTCCGAGCATCTCAGTAAAGCCAATATAATGTCAGGAAGCCACTTCAGTGTCTATCGGAAGAACCACTTCGCGGGTTAACACCGACAGTAAACAAATGACCAAATAATTCCTACCACGTCTTTTAATTAATTTTTCACCAGAGTTCCATAATATTAATAATATAACAAACCTCCGACATCAATCATACTACGTTACTTCCGTTCACTACTTTGATTTAGGTCACAGGTCTTGAAACCACACCCCGGCTTGGATAGAACTTTAGAATTTTACCCGGACAGTCTAGTGTTGAATGAATAAATACTAACTCTCGTTAACTATACGAGGATAGATTTCTTTCTCCATGTTTCAGCCATATGTTCGCGCAAATCACATGAATTTAAATACCATAATTTGTTTGATGGATTTCGAGTCAATTATTGAGGGCTGTAATAATATAGAAGTAATCGCAGAGAGTCAGTAGTCTGGCAAACATGCAACAGTCCGTATACCACCCACATCGACTGATAATAATTAGATAATTCCATCAAATAGTCTTGGAATTTATTCTTAATATCACATTGAAAAAGTTCAATCGATCTACCGTGACGGAAAAAAACTCGCGCGGGAGTAAGAACCAAAATGTAATCGCTGGCCGAGATGTATATATGTAGTGTAGCCTTAAATGCGTAGGTGTACAGTCAGTATGAACGCTGAAGTGGATTATAATCAAAGGAAAGAGCGGGTAAGAGGGATTATCCAAATGGATTATGTTGATAGTATGAACAACATTGAATCAACATATTCCGATCCTATCGCACATTTGCTCGACATCTGAGCGACAAAAAGATCAACTCCCACAAAAACTACTCGATGCTTAAAATAACGACCAGACTGAAGGTCTAAATGTAGAATATAATAGTGCTTAAATAGCAGTAGAATACTGATAAGCATCACGAACACAAGTAAGCCATGTTGACTAGTAGGTGCCACGCGTCTTCGGGTCTTGTGCCGACAAATAAACATTAGTGTTTCCATGTCAATTAGGCTATAACTACCATATTATCGACGAGGCGGATCGCTAGAAAGACCGGCTGTTATGACTTTAAACAAACTCATTCCACTTGACGTTTAAGTAAAAAATAATAATATAACATTTGAAGCCTTCGTTTCGTCAGGAAAACTCTCCTTTTCCTCTATTAACGTGCAGAGGCTTGTAGGTTTAGTAAACGTGTTGTTAAATAGAAACGAAGTGAGTATAAATGGTCTATTAGTTAATTAGCTAATCACGAGTCAAGGAGGCCAGACATTTGCGCGATTGGGTTATGATATAGAATAATAAATTGGTAACGTTACACGCGGCCCTGGGATGGAAAATATGCTTGCGGGATGGAAAGGAAAAAGTACTTGAAATCTATAAAGAGATTAATGTTCTAACAACAATCTTATCTACAACGTTGAAAAAATAACAATGAACGCAAACCATTTGAGTCGGAACTCAAATATCTGATGATGTTGGTGAAAGAATCCAACACCCTTTTGATTGGTTTTTGCGCTCGTTGGGATTATAGCTTCACTAACCTTTTTTCTTCCTGCAAACCTTATGTTTCATACACTTGTTTCCATTGCACCACACAATTTCTTGACATGCACATTCATCGAGTCATTCGCATTTAGAACCCCATTCCTGTTTGCAATTTTTGTTCCAGTAAGCATTGATGAGTTAAAGTCTACAGTAAGTATTTCAATTCATGCAGCTTATTCTCATGTCAAACGCGCTCTACGTAGGTCTAGACGTGCGGCGCTATAACACAAACACAGTTAAAACTCACGGGAAATGCGTAATCTAGAAGATATTGACATTCTTCTAAAAGGTAATGTTTAGTGATGTTGTAATCTAACGTCTTCAGATAAGGTTGCTGACACACAGATAGGACCCGATACAAGACGAACTCACGGTAACATTAAGTGAACCTCAAGTGAGCACAACCGTTCAGTTTTGACACCAGTGATCATTGCTTGAAGTGGTCATCCAATTGAGCAAGCAACGCAACCAGTTGAAACAGATAACTAACATTTCAAGAGAAGAGTATAGCAGCACTGAGTTTGGGTTGGAACAGGATTAAAGATGACAGAAAGCATCATCTTAAACAGCATCTGTCATATTGTAGTTTGGTGGCTAGTTATGACTTGTGTATCATGCCAACTTGATGATGACGATAGGTTGAACCCAAAAGCAAGTTTTAATAGACTAAAACCCGCCAAAAAAACCGCTACAGGGCCAAAGAATGTCTTAATTCAAGAATCTTACTACTTCCCAAGCCCACGGCCTGAAGATCTGAACCCAACCTTGCTGAGAAGATTACTCGGTAAAGATGCGGACTCGGAGTATGTTGCCTTGACGAGAGAGCAAATGTTACTGCGTAAACAGAACGTCAGTCGTGATTTCCAAGTTTATCGCAAACTTTTGGTTCGATCGATGCCCAAAAACATCAAAGGCCTTGATTTTACGATGCCCGGTTTAAAGAAAAACCTTGGGCCAAGAGCAAGTAGGAAACTCCAGCTTTGGCTTTGGAAAATGTCCTCATGTCCCGTCATGTCTAAATGGAAAAATTTTGGCGTACTATACTGGCCGCCTTGGCGTAACGTGGGACGCTGCGCAAAAAAGCCTTCCTGCTCGTTTCCTAAGGGAATGAGATGCAAAAAAGCCGAAACCAAAAATATCGCTGCACTACGATGGGTCTGTAAGCAGAGAAGGGGAGAGGAATCTCGTGTGTCATGTCAGTGGATGAAGACATCCTTGGCTGTTATTACTAAGTGTAAGTGTATGTGTTCGCAAGGCAAAACTAAAGACGAATGATATCAAAGACAAACACGGGGTAGCTTTTGATTCTTATCGCGCAGACTTCTCGTCACCAAAGAACAGGTCAAACGTGAACAGCACCCTTTAACGAGAATAAACTTCAACTGATTGAAAAACAATTTGGAAAGGTCTTTAATTGAAGGAAAATTATTATATTGTTGGAAAATTGTTTTGTTTAAATCCAAAATGCCCTGTAATTTGTAGTGCATTTGAAATTACTGGCGCAGCTAGATGCCAAGATTAGTATCAGTTTTTCTCTCTGAAAGACCTTTCCATTTTGTCACCTTCATATTTGTACAACTGTACGATAAGTACACTTCAAGTAGTGTACAAAGTCAAAATAACAAGTCGCTAAATTTTAAAACGATTTTAATTTCATATCAAGACCTTTTCCCTAGGATTACGCAGATATTGAGAAAACCAATGACATCGCTTTTTCCCTTGCCGATGTACTTCGCGGGAACTAGTCATAACTTTTGAAAATTAAGAATGAAAAAAATATTCGTATATTTTGCGCCATTAACTAGTTTGATAAGCAAAAGGTCTCTCTTCGTTGTGGTAGCAATCCTTTGAAAAGAGACCATTAAGTTACGGTATCGTATTAAAAATTGCCTCTAGAAATTTCAACGTATATTACTGTAATTTATTTTTCTAAGCACAGAATTCATAGTCAGAAATCTTTAGGATTTAGAATTGGACCAAGCTACCCAGCTCAAGTAGCTTTTATATATTATTGTTTTATGACCATTGAATCAAACAACAAAACGATTAACAGAAAGAGAGCGAGCAAAGTAAACTTAAGCCTGGTCTTTGCCAGCGACTTTTAAGGCGCAATTTGCAACAGCATTGCGACACAAGTTGCTAGAGTGTTTACACTGTAAACGGATACTTAATCTTTGCAAAAAGTACAAACGAATTCTAATTTTCGCTACGACTGCTGCAACTTGTCTCGCAACATTATTCTTTTCAAATTGCGGCGTAGTTTACACGCTGCAATGTTCCATGCATCACTTTTCGCAAAGCATGCGCTGCAAGACAGATTGGGAAGAAAATTGCTCCGTTTGCGATCGCGCCCTTTAGATTCCTTTTTTCATTTGTGACTAAAACAGACGTGTTTGTGACGTCATGTCGTGCTTCATACTATAGTATACACTATGGGGACTTTATCGAGGCAACTTTTGTCAAAATTGAGTGAATGAGAATATATTCTTTATAAAAATAGGTTCAACTTCTCATTAAAAGGATAAGCAAAGCGAGAAGATCAACGTTGTATATCGTACTGAAATCATTGCAAATTAAAGTTATATATAGTAAATACCAAACTTCGTGTGAGTTATTGAGTGGGAGTCAAAAAAGGACACTTTGCAAGGCTAGCAAGCTGAAGATGTAGAAAGAAGAAAAGTTGGTCACGCATGCTCATATCATATACTTAGAGAGTTGAACACCGTCAAGTGGAAAATCGCGACTCGTATTTTTACGGATTTTTTGGTGCGATCAAGTGATCATAAAATGCGTCAGACTCTTTTCTAGCAGTTGTGTAGAAATCCCTTTGATTTTAGTTTCATTAGCATCAAAAGAAAAAAGAGAACAAGAAAATCCGGCTAGCATACTGCGTGTTCTCTCTCTCTCTCTCGTCCATGGCAGGGTGGTAGATTGTGATAAGGATCCTCTAATCCTACTATTCCTTCACCACAACTGATTACATCTTTAGTACCAGTTTTCGACATTTTTTGTTCGATAATGTGAATTCTTTTGTCATTATCATTGGATTTTGAGTAAATACACGAGAGATCAAGGTTAAACGTTTATAGAATTCACTTTTACGCATTAAAAACATTGATCTCCGTGTGACTAGGATACACAGTGAACTGACAGCGCATACATTCCCCACCCCTCCCCCCACTGGATGGCCCTTCCCTTCCCCCTACCTGTGAGTCAGAAGGAGAGACGACAGATCACATGTATACGGGACACGAGACTTCATTTCAACCACGAGATCTTTTTCTTTCCTTCTGCGCAACTGACAGTGACAGTACATCGTAGAATATTGATAGATAGGCTTACAAGTCGAGGAGAGGGGGCTTATGTAAACCGAGAGGGCTTATGTACGCAGGGGGAGGGGGTAGGGGAGGCTTACAAAAGGGGTACAAAACGTCTGAAAAAAACGTTCTAAAAAATTGAAAAAAGTTTGAAAAAATGTCATTAGTGATCGTGTCCATTTTCAAATCTGGGCGGATTGTTCAAATGTACGAAAGAGTGCAAACCCTACATCCGTGTAAAACGTTTGGCCACTGGAAGCAACTTCTGTATCTACTTGTCAGCGGCCTATTTGATTACGCACTTGAACAACCCCCCCTTTTTCCCTGAATTCAGCTCCTGGAGTGAGCATAAAATTCTCAAATATTATACTCATTCAAATCCCCAAATATGAGAGGAACTTGATAGTTATTGGATCGTTGGTAATGGAGAAGTATAAATACGGCTTTGCATTTCTATACGTGTCTGAATGTTATTGTCCGGAAGCAGATCGTCAGTTGAAGAGGCCAACAAGGTTAATTAACTGGTGATGAAGTCAGCCAAGATACACCAGCTGTTTGCACATCTGAATGGATAAATCTGTGTGCTGGGATCTTTACTCGCTCTAGGTATATGACTGGGAAACAGGACACAAATATGAGAAAGAGCAATGACGAGAAAGAAGGAAAATTACAAAAAAGAAAGAAAGAAAGAAAGAAAAGAAGCAAGAAAATACTAAAAGAAACCTAGCAAACAGACAAGTAAAAGGACGTAAAAAAGGCTAGGGGAAAAAAACGAGAAAAAGAAAATGAAAAAATTAGAAAAGGAAGGTTTAAACGGAAAAAAGAGAAAACGCACATGCTTGCGCATCGTTGTGACGAACTATATCGAAGCGCATCGTTGCTACCGAAAAACGTTTATTCCAGAGGCTTTATGGTTCATATTTCACGCATTTGATCATGATTTGTCCAAGAAGACTTCGCGACAACAACTCTTTGCCCATTTTTCCCCATCAGGAGAATATCAGGAATGAAATCCTCTCTTTAGAGACAAGGACGGAAGGAAAGAAAACGCCCCAGAGGAAGTATACCCCGAGGGAAGACGGCGAGGAGCTTGCATCGTGAAATATACTGAACAAAGAAGCTTACAAGTCGAGCAGTCAGTATTAGCAGTATCAGGTTGGTTACACGACTTGAAACATGAAACTGGATCCAAACAAGTTTTGCTTTTCGGTCTACACTGTGCTTCTACAATTCTTCTAGATTGTTTCATATTAATCTATATCAGTGTTTTCTAACAAAGTCAAGTTCGCTGCCTTGACATTGCCACACGTTCAGAATATTCAAAGATAATCAATCAAGCCCTGTATCTAAATATAAGTATTCACCCAAACACTGCGTCACGTGACAGAGATAGTGAGCAGCAAGCACTGTGTCACGTGACACATGGTATTTCACAGGTAGCCCAAGCCATGTTTTAATTTTTGGGGGGCTTATAAGAGTTTGTAATACGGATTATTCTAAAAATACCTGAAATCAATGGTACTAGCTTTTTATGTTGTCTTGAACTGTTCTTTATCTTGTTCCAGCCGATTTGGAGGTTGTTTTTTTTTTTTTTTTTTTTTTCTTTTTGAGGAATTAATTTCTCACTGAGGGAGAAGCGGGATCAAATTCATGAAAGTATTTATTTCAGTATTTTCAAAAATAGTCCATATTACAAACTCTTAGTAAAACTCCCCTTTGGGCTACCTGTGGGTAGCTTGTTCAGGCATTTGTTTCTAGAATTGACTATTGTAATCCACTACTATATGGCTTGCCTAATAATCTCCTAGAATTTTTGGTTTATAATCTTTGAGCACCGGGAAAGGCGCGTTATAAAAAATGAAATTACTAAGGGTTTTCACTTGCTAAACGAGAGTTTCTGTGATGCAAACTAACAGAGAAAACTAAACACTTTAGCATAAGTGTGTATTCAACTTTTAATAAAAATGTAACGAGATATATATTTATATTTTTGATAAGCAATAATACTTTGCCATAGCAGTATACAGCACTTAGTAGGATAAAGAGTAACAATGCTTTTAATGAAATAGAATGAGTACATTTACGGGTGGGGTCAAGTGATTAAACACGTGGGAGCTGGCCATGGGGTTGGTATGAAGTATTAGAATTCAAGTAGAGTAAATGAAATACTATTTTTATAGCAGTGATGGTTGAATCCAAGAACATATTTTCCCCTTATAGAAATTATTTATTATTTGTCACTAGCTGAAAAGAACTAAGAAAAGAGTCCCTGATAGGAATGAGACCCATGACCTTCAGAATACCAGTGGATGCTCTGCTATTTTGCTGGATAAGGTCTTGTGATTTCATTTTTCTTGGGTATGATTGCAAAACTAATTGAGTGGATGGATCATTCTTAAACTTTCTAAAGTATCTTTCTAACATAAATAATATTTGTCTGTTGAAAAGCGGAGTGCGGTTGGTATCAACGGTATTACAGTATTTACAGACGGAGTCTATATAATAAACACAAAAAGTCCAATGTAAAATCCCTCAACAATAGGCCTGAAAAATACAGCATCAATAACCCCTTTCCAAAAGTCACACTAAAATATCTTGAATAAGGTTAATATAATAACAATAATAATATTAATAATATTGGACAAACCCTGTCAGGAGCTTCACATAGGTATAATATGATTGACAGATTGGTTGTCTTTATCGGTCCATGATTGATAGTCACATGAACCAGTAATTGTGATTGATTAGGTATATGTCCATATATGGGTACATTATGATTGACAGCATGTCCAGGAATGGGTACATCGTTTGATAGCATGTCCATATATGGGTATAATGTTTGACAGTATGTCCATATATGGGTATATTATGATTGACAGCCACATGAACATCCAGTTGTGATTGGTTGGTTATATCTGATCCAGCGGCACAAGAAACCATTTCTTTTCGTCAAATTTTTCCTCACGCTTTGAGGATAAAGGCTAGCGGAGGCGGCACTGAGGCAATACCAGCGAAGAACAGGAAAGAAGCGGCGTGAAGATGGCAAACACTGCATCGTTGGCACCAATGAACACCTCTTCGACTCACAATAAGCTCTCTGTAATCAAATAAACACATCTTACTAGAGCAGTTTTCGTATGACTGTGAAAAGCTCAGTGTCGTAAGCGTGACGTGTCGTGACCGTTATGCTTTCTAGAATTTTGATCGGCTGATTATTTTCACGCGCAATAAGATTGGTCTTGCATTGCCGTGGCCTTGGCGTGACCGTGTCCGCGCCGTGTTCCAGGTATGTGATTGGATGGAGAGTAAATTCTCATGCAATATGATTGGTCTTGCTGTGTCACGACCGTGTTCGTGCCGTGAACTTTTCACGGTCATACTAAAACTACACTAAAAAGCAAGTGTGGCTAGGTTGCGTAGCGGGAGACTAATTGCATGCAGGTCTGCAGTTTGATCTTCAGTGACTTGACAAACTTGTTTCTACTGCTCTCTGATCAAGTACATTTAGGGTAGATAAAATATATTTACTAATTAACGAAGCACTGATGAATATGGGGATAATCGACCTCCGTTAAACCATGGAGCTTTAGACGCTAAAGATACCCGCCTATACCTTTACTAACCAATATCATCTATATCCTGCACTTTTTTCTCGGATAAACGTGTTTTTTTCCTGTCCAGTACCAAGATCATCTATCCTGCACTTTTTTCTCGGATAAACGTGTTTTTTCCTGTCCAGTACCAATATCATCTATCCTGCACTTTTTCTCGGATAAACGTGTTTTTTTCCTGTCCAGTTACAATTACTTTATCATATACTTTATCTTTATTTCTTCGCTCCTCAGCTCATTCTGCCTTGGGTATGAGTCGTTTAGGATTTTCCTTTAGCGCGGATTTGAATTTAAACCAATCACAGAGACAACATAGTGCTAAGCCAATCAAAATCTTGATACACAGTAACGACAAGTTTTTGCCAGCATACGTGTTCTTGTCTATACACAGGCCATAAGATGTCCAACCAATATACCTCATAATATCTACCATTTGATACTATACCATTCTAATGGTATCGTTAACTATCAGTCGACCTTGACTTTCGAAAGGAGTCAAGGCTAGAAATTAAAAATAAAAGTCTAACTTTGAGGGTAAGGGGGGAGGGGGGAGG